AAGGAAAAATGCACAACCAATGAAGATGAAATTAAAGCAATTATTAGGAGCTATTTTGCCCAACTATGTGCCAAATAAAACTGACAATCTAGGCGAAATGGATGATTATGTTGTTGCTCATTTGTTTCAATTATGTCAGACTCTTTGTGACCCCATTTAAAGTTTTCTTGGCAAAGATACTGGAGTAGTTTGCCATTTCTTCTCCAGTTCATTTTACAGATGAGGAAACTGAGGCAAACAGGGTGAAGTGACTTGCCCAGGGTCACACAGCTAGTAAGTGTCTGAGGCCAGATTTTAATTCAGGAAGATGAGTCTTCGTGACTTCAGGCTCAGCACTTTATCCACTGTGCCACCTAGCTGCCCCTAGATGAATATCTACAAAAATATAAACTACTCATTTTAATAGAACTGGAAATAGAATACTTTAACCCTACCATAAAAAGCCATAAAGAAGCTCCCTAAGAAAAAAAAAATAGCACCAAACATTTAAAGAACGACTAAATTCAAAATTACATAAACTGTCTGAAAAAGTAGGTAAAGAAGAAGTTCTACCAATTTCTTTTACGACACAAATATAGTTTTTCTTTTTCTTTCTTTTTTTTTTTTTTTTTGACTAGCCAATGGGGTTAAGTGACTAGCCTAGGGCCACACAGCTAGTAAGTGTCAGGTGTCTGAGACCACATTTGAACTCAGGTCCTCCTGACTCCAGGGCCGGCGCTCACAAATTTAGTTCGGACAACTAAATGAGAGAAAAGAGCAAAAGACAACTATAGACCAATTTTCCTAATGAATATTGATTCAGAAATCTAAATAGAATACTAGCAAGGAGATTAGAGCAATATATCACAAAGACCTACACTATGACTAAGTGGGATTTATACCAGGAATGCAGGGCTGATTCAGTATTAAGAAAACTATAAGCATAACTAGTCATATCAATAACAAAACCAAAAATATGATTAATCAATAGATACAGAAAAAGCTTTTGACAAAACACAGTACTTATTCCTTTTTTCTAACCTTTTAAAAAATTTATTTAGCATTTTATTTTTCCCCAGTTATGTGTAAAAACAATTTTTAACAACTGTTTTTTAAAAATTAGAATTTCAAATTCTCTCCCTTCCTCCTTCCCAACCCCATTGAGAAAGCAAGCAACTGGATATAGGTTATATATTTGGAGTCATACAAAATATTGCATGCATATTAGTCATGTTGTGAAAGAAAACAAAGAACAAAAAACAAAACCTCAAGAAAATAAAGTAAAAAGTATGCTTCATCTATATTCAGACACCATCAGTTCTATCTCTGGGGACAGATAGCAATTTTCATCATAAGTCCTTCAGAGTTGTCTTGGATCATACAAGACCTAATCCTTTTAAAAACACTAGAAAGCACAGCAATAAATGCAGCCTTTCTTAAAATAAGTGGCATCTATCTAAAAATAAGAGCAATCATTATCTATAATGAGGACAAATTAGAAGCCTTTCCAGTACTGTGTTAGAAATGCTAGCTATAGCAACAACATAAGAAAAAGAAATTGAAGGAATAAGCATAAGCAACAAGGAAACAAAATTATCACTTTTTGCGGAAGACATAACATACTCAGAAAATCCAAGAGAAATGACTAAAAAAACTAAGTGAAACAATTAACAACTTTAGCAAAGTCGCATTATATAAAACAAACCCACTCAAATCATCAGTATTTCCATATGTTACCAATAAAACCTACCAGGAAGAGACATAAAATAACTGTAGACAGTACAGTTGGGAATCCACTCGCCAAGACACACAGAGCAATTATGTGAACACAATTACAAAACACTCCTGACACAAATAAAGACAGATCTATAAAACTGGAGAAATATTAAATGCTTGCGGATAAGCTGAGACAATATAACAAAAATGACAATTCTACCTAAGTTAACATGCTAATTCAGTACCATACCAATCAAACCACCAAAGAATTACTTTACAAAGCTAGAGAAAATAATAAAATTCATCTGGAGGACAAAAGGTCAAGAATACCAAGGGAACCAATGAGAAAAAAATGGAAAGGCAGCTTACCAGTACTAGATCTCACACTATATTACAAAGGGGTAATTATCAAAACAATTTGGTACTCTGTAAGAAACAGGGTGGCTGATCAATGAAACAGATTGGGTACACAATATACAGAAGTTAATGAGGATAGTAACCTAGTATTTGATAAAACCAAAGTTCCCAGTTACTGGGAAAAGAATTCACTATTCAAGAAAAATTGCTGGGAAAACTGGAAAGTAGTCTTGAAGAAATGAGGCATAGAAGGGGCAGCTAGGTGGCGCAGTGGATAGAGCTCTGGCCTTGGAGTCAGGAAGAACTGAGTTCAAATCCAGTCTCAGACACTTTACACTTACTAGCTGTGTGACCCTGGGCAAGTCACTTAACCCGATCACCTCACCAAAAGAAAAAAAAAAATGAGGCATAGACTAATATCTCATACTGTATGACCAAGATAGGCTCAAAATGAGTAGTGATTTGGACAAAAAGGTTGATACCATAAGTAAATTAGGGGAGCATGGAAGAAATTACCTGTCAGATCTATGGCTACAATAAGAGTTCATGACCAAGCAAGAGGCAGAGAGGTTCACAGAACATAAAATAGACAATTTTAATTACATAAAATTAAAATGTTTCTGTATGAACATTAGCCAAAATTAAAGAAAAACAGGACACTGGTGGGAAAATTGTAGCAAGTTTCTTTGACTAAGGTCTCATTTTTTAAATATATAGAGAATCGGGCAGCTAGGTGGCACAGTGGATACAGCACTGGCCCTGAATTCAGAAGGACCTGAGTTCAAATCCAGCCTCAGGCCAAACACTTGACACTTACTAGCTGTGTGACCCTGGGCAAGTCACTTAACCCCAACTGCCTAAAAGTAAAAAAAAAACAACAAAACAAATATATACAGAATCTATAAATCTATAAAAATTGGGAGCCATTCCCCAATTGATAAACAGTCAAAGGATATGAAGTGACAGTTTTCAGAAGAAGAAATCAAAGCTATCAATAGTCACATGAAAAATGCTCTAAATCACTAGTAATTAGTGAGAAATGATTCTTTTTCTCTTATATTAATAACCAATTATTAAACTTGGATTGAGGTTTTCCCCTCCTATTTCCTCAATCAGAAACAAGCCCCCAGAGGTTATTCAGCCAGTCTCTGAAGGACATTGCTGATAGAAGAGATTGCCCAAATCCTCAGGGTACATGCTTTTTGTGGGTGGGGCCCCACTCAACTAGAAGACCTTATAAACAGAGTCTGGTTCAGGCAAGTTCTTGCCCTTGGGAAATAAGCACCTGTACTTGGAATCTTCCATTAGAATTTAGGGTGACCCCGCATATGAAGAGTGTTCTGAGTAGAGAAGGATTCTTTTGTCTAGATTGCTGAGGCAACTGAGTCTCACCATTAGGTCATATCCTCAGCAGGAAAAGCTGAAGACTTTTTGCCCACTTCCCCTTTAATGTGTCTATCCCCTCATTGCTTGTTAACCAATCAGAGTTGATTTCCACCCTCAGGGACACCCTCTTTTCCAAAGGCTTGTAAGTATTCAATTGGGGGGAGGGGGAAGGGGAAGTGTCTTTGGTTTCTGAGCGGGCCACTGACCTTGATTTATTATTTCCTAGACGTAATTAATGAGTTGATTAGTAATTGCCCAGAAACTCTGTGTCTCAGACTTCTCATTCATCATATTAGCGAAATGCTTCTGAAGTACCACTTTACACCTCTCAGAATGGCTAAGATGGCAGAAAAATAAGCAACAAGGAAACAAAATTATCACTTTTTACAGAAAAGATGATACTACGCCTAGAGGATCCTAGATGACAGAAAAGTAAAAAGACAGGTTTTTTTTGTCATTTATAAAATGACAGTTGGAGTGGATGTAGGAAAATAGGGGCCATCATGCACTGTTGGTGGCGCTGTGAACTAAGCCAACCATTCTGGAGAACAATATAGAACTATGCCCAAAGGGCAATAAAACTATGCATAGCCTTTGATGTAGCAATACTGCTACTAGGTCTATACCTCCAGAGGATCAAAGAAATGGGAAAAGGACCTATATATAAAAAATATTTTATAGCAGCAATTTTTCTGATGGAAAAGAATTGGAACCTGAATGGCTGAACAAGTTGCAGCATACGATTGTGATGCACTAACTATTATGCTGCAAGAAATGATGAAGGGATGGTTTCAGAAAAACCTGGGAAAACATGCATGAACTGATGCAAAGTGAGCAGAACCAGGAGAACAATTTACACATTACTAAGCAATAGTGTAAGGAAAATCAACTGTAAAAGACTTAGCTACTCTAATCAACTCCAAAGGACTCACGATGTAAAATGCTATCCACCTTTAGATAGAGAACTGATGGACTTAGAGTGTAGAATGAAGTTGATGTTTTTCCTTTTCTCTATTTTTCTTGTGCAGTTTTTTTTTTGGGAGGGGATAGCTAATGTGGAAATGTTTTACATGACTTTATGTATAATGGGTATATATTTCTTGCCTTCTCAATGGATGGGGAGGAGTTAGAAGGAGGGAGTAAATGTAGAGCTAAAAAAAATTAAGCTAAAATTTCCACCCATCAAAATCATATTCACTCTTTAAAGCCCAGTACAAATCCTACTTTCTTTATGAAGACTTCCCCAACTGCCTCAGATGCGGGCATTTTTACGCCTCTTGACATTTTTATTATTCTCATTACACTGATCAAAAATCAACATAATATTATATTAATTTCAGAAAATTCCACGGTCTGGGACTTTCTTACACATCTTCCTATCCCCAAGTAACTGGGCAATGTGTCTTGCAGGTAATAAACACTCAATAAGTATTTAATGAATGAGAGAGAAATCTGAATCAGTAAGATGAGTCCAGATTAAAGGACCTTGAAAAGGAAGCAAAATGATGGAATTTCAAGAGATTCTCATGAATAAGAAAAGCACCCAAGGTACACCTACTGACCTGCTTTAAGCTGGCTTTTCATGAACTGTGTTTGTGTCCCTTCCCCACAATCAAAGAGCCAGCAGGCACCTTCACATCGGAGAGCTACAGCAGAGGCTCCCCTGGTGGGTGATGGGTATGCAGAGCCTGTTCCTAGGAAGGTTACATCCATGGACATCTTCCACCCTGAAACAACAAAAGAGAATCCTGAGATCACTGTGCACCATAAATCACAAACTCGGAAATCCTGTCGACATTACTGGTAGAGGGTGAGTGACATTCTGGGTGCCAGTCCCCTCGGTTAGACTCCCCAAAGTCTATTGTTCTACACAAACATAGGGTAGATTTGAACAGCTCCCAAAATGCCTTTTACCACCAACTTCTAAATCATGCAGGACTGACAAATTTTTTTCCATACATTTTTATTTATTTTGTTCAGTGTTTCCTAATTACATGTAAAAAAATTTTTTTTTATCATTTCTTAAAAACTTTAAGTTCCAAATTCTCTCCATCCCTCCCCTCTACCTTCCTTGAGAAGGCAAGCAATTTGATATCAATTGTACCTGTGAAGTCACGCAAAACACATTTCTGTATTAGCCATGTTGCAAAAGAAAACAGACAAAAAACCCTCAAGAAAAAGAAGGAAAGTTTAAAAAGTATGCTTCAATCTGCATTCAGAGTTCATCAGTTCTGTCTCTGAAAGTAGATAGCATTTTTCACCATGGGTCCTTTGGAATTCTGACTTAAATTAAAAAAAAATACACGTAAACCAATTAATTAAAAACAAGTCAGAATTCAGGTTAGGAGGTAAGACATTAAAATAATGCTCAGCAAACTTTGGGTGACTCTGAAGCCACACTGAGCTCTTCTCCCTCCAAATTCCCTTATGGTTCTTAATCCTGTGTTGTTGTTGTTCAGTCATTTTTTTCAGTTGTATCTAACTGTTCATGAGCCCATTTGGGGTTTTCTTCGAAGATGCTGGAGTGGTTTGCCATTTCCTTCTCCGGCTCATTTTACAGAGGAGGAAACTGAGACCAAGAGAGTTAAGTGACTTGCCCAGAACCATAGAGCCAGTAAGTGTCTGAGGCACATCAGAACTGGGGAAGAGGAGTTTTCTTGACTCCAGGCCTAGCACTCTATCCACTTTGACATCTAGCTGCCCTCTTAATCCTACACTTCTTTGCTATTTAACTGTTTTGTGAACACACAGCTTTGTTCCCCAACTAAATCTAAATCCCAGGGGACCATATATTTTTGCTTCTTTTGAATTCCCAATTCCCAATACCCCCATTTCAAGAACTAGTAGGAACTCAAACTTCTAATGAATAATAACTCATGTTTATGTAGACCTTAAAGTTTACAAAATGCTTTCCTCACAACAGGCAGATAATAAAATATTATTATCCACTTAACAAATGAGGTTATTAGGGGGTCAGAGTGGTAAAGAGAGCAGCCACTGGTAATCTGAGCTGAGACTTGAGTTCGGGTCAAAGGGACATGGATTTAGAGGTAGAAGAAATCATAAAAACCATCAGTTCCAACTTTCACATTTTACAAATGAAGAAACTGAGGCACAGGAAGGATAAGTAAACTGCTCAGTGTCACAAAGCTTATGTCTAATCAGAATTTGAACCCAGTACTTCCTGACTCCAACTCCAATCACTTATCTATCACACTTAATGGTTCTCTGAAAATCCCAGGGGGTTCCTGAGACCCTCTTGTGGGTCTGCAAAGTCAAAAATATTTTCATAATAATACTAAGGTGCTATTTTCAACTATTTATCTGTGTGAGGCCAGATTTTCTTCATATACTTCAACTAAAACAACCTATCACAACAGATTGAATGCAGAAACAGGTATGAAAATCTAGTTGTCTTTTATTTAGTCAGAATTAATGAAATGTGCAAAAATATGTAAAAGAGCAACTCTCCTCACTGATTTTTTGTTTTGGAAAATATCTTTCATAAAAATGTTATTTATGTTAACATGTAATCAGTTATTGCTATTTTTAGATGAATTAATACATATTTACAAAATTATTGGTTTTAATTTCTAATATGGTAAATGTCAACAGACTGAACCCATGTAAACCAAGCTCTTTATAATACTCAACAAGTTTTGGAAAAGGATCCCGAGACCAAAAGTTTGAGAATTGCTGCACTATACTCCCTCTCTTCTGACTCCTAATCCAGTGTGTTTTTCATCCTTAATACTCAGTCTGTGTAGTAGGGATTTAGGCCAAATGGAAAAATTGAAAATAAACCAAATTTGCATAAACATATTGGAGGCAAATTGCATAAATTATCTTAAACTTGTTGTTCAGTTATTTCAGTCTCATCTGACTCGTTGTGACCCCACTTGGAATTTTCTTGGCAAAGATACTGGAGTGGTTTGCCATTTCCTTCTCCAGCTCATTTTACAGATGAGGAAACTGAGACAAACAGGGTTAAGTGACTTGTCCAGGTTCACATACCTAGTAAATGTTTGAGGCCAGATTTGAGCTCAGAAAGATGAGTCTTCCTGACTCCAGGCCTAGCACTCTGTGCAATATGGTGCCACCTAGCTGCCCAAGCTTAAACTAGGTTACTATTAATTATTAATATTTTAACCAGGCAGCTAGATGGTACAGTAGGTAGAGTGCTGAGCCTGGAGTCAGGAAAACCTGAGTTCAAATCAGGCCTCAGACACTTACTAGCTGTGTGACCCTGGGCAAGCCCCTTCACTCTGTTTGCCTCAGTTTCTTCATCTGTGAAAATGAACTGGAGAAGAAAATGGCAAACCACTCTAGTATTTTTGCCAAGAAAACTCCAAATAGGGTCATGAAGAATCAGACACTACTGAAAATTGAATAGACAAGAACAACATATTAAAGCTGAGAACAGAAGCATGAATAATAATTTTAAAAGTAGATATTATGATATATTACAATACGTGTATCTAAACTTCTGGGAATACAATATTTCCAACAAAACACTGAAACAGCACTGTGAAAATCTTCTCAGAAGCTGTAATTTCCCCTCTTCCTATCCCAACAATGCCCCAACCTCCCTTCTGTACCACTTCTCTTTGGGAATAACCGCCATCATAAGGAACAAAAAGTACACAGGTAAACGGGAGTCAGAAGAACTGAGTCTCAGTTCCTTTATCACTAAAAAGATGTGTGACCTCAAGAAAATCACTAAACTTTTGTGGATCTCCTCATACTGGCCTTAGCCCTAAAAGGACAATTTCAAGTGCTAACTCTGAGACACTGGCTGCCTGACCTTGGGTGAAATCAATTCTGTCTCTCCAGGGCTCTAGGCAACTTCTCTGGGGCATAGGGAGAGCTTGCTACTTTTCTTTTAATTTCTACTTACCCAGCAGTTATTTTCTTTCTTTCTTACTTCCTGTTGTTAAAAAAAAATACAAGCCCTTTTTACACATATGCAAAGTCAAGCAAAGCAAATTCCCACATTGGCCACATCCTCAAACTACCTGGAGTCCCTCACCTTTGCGAGGGGGTGTGTAGTGTTAAAGGTGCACCTAGGTGGCACGGTGGATAGAGCACTGGGCTTGGAATAAGGAAGATTCATCTTCCTGAGCTCAAATCTGGCCTCAGACATTAGCTGTGTGACCTGGCAAGTCACTTAACCCTGTCTGCCTCAGTTCCTCATCAGTAAAAGGAGCTGGAAAAGGAAATGGCAAACCATTTTAATATCTCTACAAAGAAAAACCCAAATGGGATCAATAAGAGTCTAAAACGACTGAAACAACCCAACAAAAACGGATAGCATTAAGCATCCTTCCAAAATAGAGGTTTTAAACCTGGGGTGGGTGAGTTTTGTTTTGTGTTGTTTTTCTAATTTTTTTCTTTCTTGAATGCCCATAGCAATACAATTTAATTTTTTTCTTTTAAAAAAACTTCATTTAATATTTTAAATATTTTATATAAATTTTACATCTTATAACATGATATAAATATATAAAATACGTATTATTTTATAAATTTATAACATTAAAAAAATTTTTAAGTTCTAATTTCTATCCCTTCCCAGTCCACTGAGAAGGTAAGCAATATATCAATTATACATATGAAATTAAGCAAAATATATTACAGAAAGAAAAATGCAAAAAAAAAGTGAAAAAATTATACTTCAATCTGCACTCAGTTCATCAGTTCTCTCTCTAGGGGTGGACAGCATTTTTCATCACGGCTAAGTTATTGGCTAAGTTATTCAAAGGTGATCACTGTACAATATTGCTGTTATTGTGTGCACTGTTCTCATGGTTCTACTCATTTCATTAGTCAATTCATCCTATGTCTTCCCAGGTTTTTTAAAAAACATAGTTCGCTAACTGAATTTCCATATGATCGATTTCCTGTACAATACTACGTACCTTATTTTACACATTTACAAACATTATTCTGAGATGGGAGCTCTACAGATTTTACCACACTGACAAAGGGTTCCATAGCATAAAAGAGGTTAAGAACCTCTGCTACTAAAATTACAAATAGCAGCAGAAGTGTAGGCCTGCATTGGGATGGAGGCAGGAGAGGTTCCATAACAACAACATGAAAAATCACATATCCTGTCCTTATCCCTAAAACGAAGGAATTGAATTATCAATTTCTAACTGCTATGGTTTTATGCAAGACTTTTATGTTTTTTGAACTTAAGGAACACAAGTTCTTTCTACCCAGACTTCTGGCTTTCTGGGAGTCTTCTAGTTAGTTGCACTCTCCCATTTCACAGATGAGAACACTGAGGAGGTCACTCATCCGACCCAGAACCTCTGGGAGGCCGGGTGACCGACCCATTGGGATCCCAGGACCCCCTAATCCGCCCCCCTCCCTGGCCACGTCCTTTAGCAGGGGAGCGTGGCAAGGCGGCTCCTGCAGCGGCGCCTCCCCGGGGCAAGCCTGCGGGGCGTCCGCGGGATGGCACGTGGGCCGCCGCGAGCAGACATCCCATAGCGAGAGCAGGAGAGCGCAGGCGCGGGGGTGCGGGGGCGCGGGGCCACGGGGCCACAGCCCGGGCCGGACCCTAATAGCCTGGGGGCGGGCCGTGGCGGGGAGGGTCAGTCGGGGCCAAGGGACTTACGCTGTGAGGCTCTACTCACCTATTCTCGGGGCAGCCCCGGGGGAGGAGTAGGGAGACGCAAAGAAGCGGCTGTCCTCCTGGGGGCCAGACGGGAGCTAGGGGATGAATATAACTACAGATCCAGGCTCTCGAGGTTTAAGACAACCACGCGGGGAGCTGGGGGGCGTGAAATAAGCAGCGGGCGGAAATGTGTCTCCGGCTTCTCTGCCCCCCCGCAATCACTTCCGTGTCCTGCCTAGAAAGCCGGGCGGCCTCGGCTTCTTGGTGATGTTCTCGGCTGCCTTGGTGACATGCACGCTCAGTTCCGGACTGGCCTCGGACCACACACATGTGCCGAGTGGCCTCTCCCCCCGCAGCGCTTTCCCTCCAAAAATCCGCATAAAACAGAATCTCACATGCATTGTGTTGACGGATTAGAGTCTGGACAAGGAAGATGGCGAAGTTGCAAACCTCCCCCACTCCCGCTTTTCTGGCCATACCTTGGGCGGACCTTGGAGAGAACCATGGGAGGTCACAGCTGAGCCCCTGACAGCAAAGATTCTGACCTGCCCCTTTAAAACTAAACCAAGCAAACTAACGAAAAACTCGTTTATTGATGCCTTTTGTTTTGTTGTCTCCCTTATTTCACAGAAGAGGAAAACTGGGGTGCAGAGAGGCAGAGCAAGGAATTACTTTGGAATTAATTCCAATTAATTGGAAAGAATTGTCCAGAGGGGCAGTTAATACCAGAGCCGAAGTTAGAAGACGCACCTCCTAGTTTGGAGACCAGTGCTTTTCCTACTAAGAAAACTCCCTTATCTCTTCCCCCTCCCCTTTTTTTTTTTCTGAATACCCTCCTTTTCCAATTCTTGGTTCTGACAGTTGTGACTTGGGTTTGCTTTTGTTTTGTTTTTAAGTTGGAATGAACTCTGCAAAGGATAGCGCAGGATTTAACGCCAAAAAAAACCCAAAACTACTGAAAGTAAGAAAAGGAGACAATTTATAAAACCAAGTTATGCTTGAAAAAAAAATCTTTGAGTCATTTTTTTCAATTTGAAACTTAAACACTCCCCCAGAGCATTTCCCTACACACAGCTACCCACAAGAGGATTCTATATGAAGCCTTGTATCTCCATTTTATAACGCTTCCATATACACACACATACACACATAGACTATGTATATACAAACATATATATTTCTACCCATTACTTTCAAAATGGCCCAGAAGTCTCTACTTCCTTCTGTTATCTTCTGTGCATTCTGAGGCAAGTTGGTGGAGAGCTGGACCTGAAGTCTACCCATTCTGCCAGGAGAAGACTTCAAATGCTTGGAGGTAGACAGTCCCTAACTCACCAATGGGTTTGAGGCCTGATGGTTACCCTCAACCTGGTTTAGCTTGTATACTGAGATGGTTTTACTGGAGTGTGGCAATGTTTGTGTTACAGCTTCTTGGAGCCACAGATGAGAGATGGGTGAAAAGTGGACACCAAAGGTGGATGATAAGCAGCCCTGAAAAGGGCTCAGCAAACCCTCACACCAGAGGTGCTAGTCCTCCCTCTAACACTAAGGTAACTGACTAAGGTAAAGTACAGAGAGACAACCCACATCTGTTGCTCTAATTTCACCTCCACAGCAAGATGCCCCTCTTAGGTTAAACACTTCACATCTAATTCATGACCATGCTGTTAACTCAAGCCTTGACCAACATCCCCTCTCTCAGCCTTCTTTCCCATTTGATTGGAGGGCTGAGGGTGAAGAACCCAATTCCTCCCAATGCCTTCCTTTATAGGGGGCAGAAATTGGACTTTTCAGTGCACCCCACTCTACATCTGCTGTTCTGCCTGGTTTCAGCTCCATGGAACAAGATGTCCCTGTGCCACATACCTCCCTAGTGCTCCCCCCACCATCTTTTGTTTGTTGTCTCCCCCCATTAGACTATAAGCTCCTTGAAGTCAGGGACTGTCTTTTTATTAATTGTATCTCCATGCTTAGCATAGTGCCTGGCATATAGTAGGTACTTAGTAAATATTTATTGGATGTTAGACAACTATGTTCCTCATTTTGGACACTATACCTCTATTAATGCAGAATAAAATCAAATTAGCTTTATCAGTTGCTAGATCATATAGTTGATTCACATGGAATTTGTATAATAATATTGTTGTGGTTCAGCCGTGTCTGACTCTTCATGACCTCATTTGAGGTTTTCTTAGTAAAGATACTGGAATTGTTTGCCATTTCCTTCTCCAGCTCATTTTGCAGATGAGGAAACTGAGGCAAGCAGGGTTAAATGACATGCCCAGGGTCACACAGCTAATAAGTGTCTGAGACTAGATTTAAATTCAGATCTTCCAGATTCCAGGCCCAGCACTCTATCCACTCTAGCTACCCATTGCATAATAATAACAACAGCAATAATAATGATAATATCTACTATTTTATCTTGCTCTAAGTTTGCAGAACACTGTAGTGTTATCTCATTAGCATTTCATTAAAACTCCCTGACCTTATTCAGATGTATTGTTATCTAGCAACTTGGCCCCAATCTTGCAATTGTGAAGCTCATTTTTAAAATTCAAGTGTAAAACTTCACATTTATCTGCACAATTGTACCTGTTTAGATATTTTTGGATCCTGACTGTCATCCACCATATTAACTAACCTGCATAGCTTTGTGTCATCTGCAAATTTCATAGGTATGCCTTCATCCCAGTCGTTGGAAAAAAAAAAAAGTCCCACATTTTAAATTACATTTCATTTTTTAAAATATTTCTAAGTCCCAATTTAGTATCTGAGACACAAAAATCATGGCCAGTGTATTAGAGGTGGTAAAAATCAGCAGATCTGGTAGATCTATACCAGAGAGAGCAATATTGGGTTAGAGTTGGCATCTGTGAAACTCTAGGGAGGAAAGTAATATGGTCTGGATTTCTCAGAGCACTCCCCCCTCCCCCCCCCCATTGCTTCACTTAAGTAAGGAAATAGAAACACAAATAAATAAATATCTCCACACATCACAACCATTTTGGTTGTCAATTTAAACCTGCCTCTCCTCCCTCCACAAAGCCAAGTTATAAAAGTGATATGGTGGAAAAAGGACTGAATTTGAGTGGCAGCTCTGTAACTAGTGTCACTGTGTGACCTTGCACAAATCACCTAACCCCTCTAGGTCATAATTTCCTTATATTTAAAATGAGTGTTTACTAGCTGTGTGACCCTGGGCAAGTCACTTAACCCCAATTGCCCCCCCCCCAAAAAAATAAATAAAATAAAATGAGGGGGTTGGACTGGATGGCCTCTGTGGCAGGAGAAATGTCTGCAGGGTCCTCTGACATATGGGATAGCCTAGTTCTTTTCTCTTAAAAGGTTGTTGAAACTGTCTTAGAAACTTGATTATCTCAGGAGATTAGAGGCTGGGGTGGCCAGGGTACCTCAACTTGGCTCCTTCCTCAGGATTCTGATTAGCAAGATAACCAACCCTGATACAGAAAAGGAGCATTCAGCTGAATTAGTGCCATATATTCACTGAACCTTGTTCTCCTCACGTGGCTAAGTAAACCTCCATGTGTTAACTCTGTGATGTGCCATAGCATATATCTCATTTGGTGTCAGTGTTGAACCTGAGCTGCTTTCTGGTCTTGAACCCAGCTTGGTGTACTCAACCTCTGCAGTACCTTCCAGCTTCAAATCCATCATGCAATGATAATGGTTCTAAATGTATACATAATATAGCACTAGGTGCTGAACAGATCAATAAAAAATGAGGCTAAGGTCTCTGCTGTCCAGAAGCTTAAAATCAAGTTGGGGCAGAGTACAGGAAAGATTTCAGTGAAATGCAAAAGATGAGGTCACTCAAGACTGAGGGACTTCGAACTGAGTCTTATAAGATGGGGAAAAGGAAATCAATAAGCATTTGCAGTAGATAAGCAGATGACAAATGGGCCCCAGTGCCCATCAAGCCCAACTTGTCACCTGTTCCGAAGGACCAAGCCTTAGGGAGCCCCTTCCCTTGCCAGGTCCCAGCCCCCATTGCCCTCTTCCCACCATGTACCAGAAATCCCTTCCCAGATAGATGCTAACCCTTCTCATCCCCATGCCTGACTAACCCAGAACCCTGCTCCACTCAAACTTTTTAGCCTATTACCCCCCTTCCTAGTAATTATTGGTATGGGACCTTCTTCTCTGCCGTTGCTTCCCCAGGTCCATCAAGCCTTACCATCTGCTCTGTTGCTTTTTACTTTGAATTTCCATGTTGAATGGCCAATGTGCCTGAAGGATCACCTGGCCTTTCCATCTATCCTAAAACTGTATCCTCCTATGTGGGTTGTCTTCCCTAATTAGAATATGAGCTTCTTGAGAGTGGAGACCATTTTGTTTCTTTATTTGTATCCTCAGGATTTAATGTGGTGCTTGGGACATAGTAAGTGCTCAATAAACATTTTTCTATTCCACTTTTAAGTACCCACTTTGTGCTATGCACTCTACTGGGGATACTTTCAAATACTCAAATAGGATGCTGTCATTTGGCGGTTCTCTTCAACAGTGTAGATCACAATATCTATGTCTGCCCATTCTTTGCAACTTTGTATTCACATCCTCCTATTAGTTAGCTGTAGAGGAGTCACACATACTTCCATGCAATCCAGGAAGGCCTTCCTCAGTTTCCCCTAACATTATGAGGGAACCAGTGGAGCAGTGGGCCTGCCCATCCACCATTTCTTGCTACATGGCTAGTTGGTTCTATTACAGTTCTGGACACGCCTTATAACTACTTAGGGCCCCGGTTTACTGTTCTACCCAGGCCTACCTTTCCCAGGATGTGTTCCCACTATGCTTCTTTCCTCTGAATCTTACTTGTGTTTCTCCCCTCAGGAGCAGGTCCTCTGCCAATTAAGGTGACAACTAGTCAACATAGCAAATTAATTCATGTTAAAGGGAGAAATAAGGAAAATATTCTCTTCCTACCCTTTCTAGGTTACACATTTTGTTGCTGTTGTTCAGTTGTTTTCAGTTGTGTCTGACTCTTTGTGACCCCATTTGGGTATTCTTGGTAAAGACACTGGAGTGGTTTGCCATTTCCTTCTCCAGCTCATTTTACAGATGAGGAAACTGAGGCAAACAGGGTTAAGTGAATTGTGCAAAGTCACAGAGCTTGTAAGTTTCTGAGGCC